TTTTATGGAATTTAGTTTGTGGAAAATTTTGAATAATTAGTCGTTTTATTATTTGTTTTTTTATTTTTTTAAATTTTTTATTTTTTTGTTGGGTTTATCCAACTACTAGGACCGGGATAGTCATGAGATGTCTCACAACCAATTCTTAACTATCTCTATTCATTGCCAAATCATTTTATTCCCTTATTTTTTTATTTAAATAAAAAAATATATATATTCAAATTAAGGAAAATTTTATCAGTTTACAGGTATAATATTTCAAAAAAATACTTTCCAATTACAATAATTAATTATAATAATAAAGTATATTACTTAGTATTATTTAGTCAATTATCAGATTCAGATTCATAATAGTTTGTATCACTTAAATTTAAATCATTTATTTTTAATAACATCCTTGCTTCGTTTGAAAATTTGGAATTATTTTTCGTTTTAATTTTTCGGAGACTCGATATAACTGGGTCAGACGATATAAGAAGTATATGCAACAGATCTGTTATTTGTGTTTAATCGAGAATTTTTCCGTGTATGGTGTTCTCGATAATTTTTAAAGTCCTTATTGCGACATTCTTGAGCCTCTTCTGACAATTGGCCTTATAATGAATGAAACAGAAATTATTACTTTTGTAAAGTATGCCTATACAAATATAAAATGTATAGTGAAATTATATACCTATTGGAAGAAGTGCGTGTCGAATAACATCTGCTCCATGAATAAGAATTTTGTGGATACTGGCAGGCATATAATACCATGGATAAAGTTGTACAAAACGTTGGGCAGTTTCTAAACTGTACACTTCAAAAGCATGAACATCTATTTCATAACCACTAGATAATACTGATAGTATAATTCCAAATCGTTGAATCAAATCTAAGTTTATACCAGTAATTTCAGCTGATTTTTCTGCATTTTTAAAAAAATCGCCGAGCAGTATTCCCATCATTTGTCGTCCCATGCCCTGTAAATATAAACGTATGTAGGTATATACATAGGTATATAAATATTTTGCATAACATACCTTGTAATACGATATCAACCAATAACCCCATTTCCGATCTAAACCTGTCTTGAACTTCTTTTTTCTTCATCGCGAAAAGTAATTTATGGTCGTTTGATCTAACCTATAAATATTATATTAAATTAAAAGTGTATTATATGTTTTCGAAATAAAAAACAGGTATATATATTATTTTTTATAATATATACTAATCTTTAAAAAATATTGTGGTTTTTTTATAATATGAATTTATTTTATTTTATAAGAGTATTAAATTTTTTAAGTTAATTCATTTTAAAATTAAGTAGTTCATTTAGGTATACCTGCCAGGTTTTAAATTCTAGTCGATATGATACGTGCAATATACATTATAAA